CGCAGCTGCACTTAACATAAGCACGCTTAAACCCCCCCCCCTCTTCAAAATTTCTGTCCTTTCCTCCCTATTTAAAACACCAGCCAGATGAACAATGATACGGGACGCTACAAGTTTTGGGTAAGCATGGGACAGATGCAATAGCACCAAGCGACGCTTACGTGGCGTCACCTAGCGGGGCTTTTGTCGAGCTCCACAGCTGCCACCACGTGCTGTAGAGACGCCGGAATAAAAAAAGCAAGAAGCACGCTATTGTATGTGGGGCGTCAGTGAACTCCCCTCGTTTTCAGCTCCCCTTTCCAATTCGTATTTGGACTTTAAATGTATTGTTCAGATGAGCAGGGGAAAGCAACCTGGGCGGAGGGGGATGTCTCTCATTCATGATGTATATTTAAACGTAGACGCAGTGTTAAAAGTGTGGTTCAGTTGGCAAGTGACGCACCTGGTGAGAGGAAGGAAAATGCTCCGTTAGTCTCTTTGTAAAGTGGTTTCTCATCCTGAGGAATTGATCGAAGTATAACTTCCGCCTTGAGGTGAGAGCCGCGTCGAATATTTATAGTGTCCACCTTGAAAACTGCAGCTGCAATGTTTGCCGAAACATTGCCAAGTATTAGACGCGACCTTGCCCGAAAGCCTAAGTTACGCTTTGAATTTCAGCCGCGAAAATCTATGAAACAAGAATTGATTTATATTCGAGGACAGGATTCTGAGGAAGATAGTGAAAGGAGATTGGAAAATTGTGTAATGACGAACTTTGTAATTTGAACAATTCGCCGAATGAAGGTCATCCAGCACTCATTGTGGAAGTAATATATGCATGCAAAATTTTAGTCGGAAAATCGGAAAGTAAGAGACCTAGTCGTCAGCTGTCATTTTATCAAAAACATTTGGGCGTTTTTAGTTTTCCGCTCTGCCCGTGTGGTTCTGTTCCTTAGACGAAAACGCTAAGTGGTTACAGTAACTTACATGCGAGGTTTAATATCCTACTTACCCATTCACGAGTCAATTCGTACCTCAATTACAGCCAACTTCGCTAGTGAGTAATTTGCCGGGTCACGTGGGTCTGGCCTTTTCTGCATGGAAACGCGTACAAGTCCGGTCGCTTTTTTGTGGGGGGGGGGGGGCATTTAAATAACAAGAAAGAACGTCCAGTCCCTAATTCTTTTTACTTTACTGTTAGTTTTCAACATGCAGTATTTAGCACAGATCACAACAAGACCATATGAACATTTAAGTCCAGTGGTAACGATATGTACCACCCGCTTTAACCATCGGCGTCTCTCCACTCTGCCCACAACAGAGTTTCGTATGATTCTCACTTAGATTATTAGATGTTTAATTATTCCGTAACAACTGCAGAGGTTATTTTGCGTCGAATGAGATGAGAAGGCGATTTGGAACGGTTCATTTGGAATCATTTTCCACATCTCTCTCTTAAATAAGTTACAAAGCAGGCTAACTCAGCGAGTAAATCTACTGCCCTCTGGCTTTACTACCGATGTCACGTTAGAGGGGATATTTTTGTATGTGAAGCTTGAAGTCATTGCTCTGAAGATGTCGGCGGTGTGTTCCTCAGAAACGCTTGTATCTACCTACAAGTCCACTCAGCGTTGGAGCCCAGAGCAATAACATCTACAGGCTTTAGTCTCTTCGTCAGCGCGTGAAGACTCGCTCTGGGGTCCAGCTAGCATCCTGCCCAGCTTTCCGTGGGGGTAAAACAGACGGAGCGTTCACATACTGCTAAAGTTTTATCTCAGCTCCCTCCACACGTCTTCATTGCCTCTACCCCGCGTCATCTGTCGTAGGCTTCCTGTCGCCTACGGCTGTCTATTTCCTGTTAGACCCGACTGAAAACAGATGAATGGGGCTGACGTCACGGACTGCTTATTTTACTTTCCGGGTCAAGGACACCCGAATGGGCGCCCCACCCATTTTACTGATTAACTAGCTGAGGTTCTACCTTCACCAGCTGGTCTGAATCCAGGTTTCAAGAATTAGATCGAACGTTCCATTATATTTCTTGACTGTCGTTAAATTTTTCGAGAACATTTTACTGCAGAGGTCGGGCGAGATATAAGAAGAGATCAAAGGTTGATCCATTCAAGCACGAAATTTAGTCCCTACCGCAAAGGAAACACTACACGTCTCCATGACAACGATCGGCTGTTTATTCAGAGAATCATACGAAGCACGTAAATGCACACCGAGGGCAGAGTGCACAGTTAGTGGATGTTGTGTCTCCCGTATTCGCTTCTCGTCTCGTCATTGTGTACTCCATGAACCTCGTGTCTCATGATCCTTGATTTAATCGTCCGTGTAGATACGTCAAGGCAAAACGCGTTTAAATCATCAGTCAACTCTGCCGCCTCCAGGATTCGATCCGGGGTACTCAGGCAGACAAGGCGTGGATGATGACGCTTTGATTAATGATCTGTATGTCTGCATGTGAAGGCCAGTGAAGTTTTTTTTGTGCGATGTGGTCCGGAGAGCTATTTCTACCTCCAAGGTTAATTACAGTTACAGGCTGGTTGTTAGGTTATATAACGATGCTGCACCAACAGCGAACGTTATCCGATTGTGACGAGACAAATTTTTGCGGGGACGTGTTTCGTCTGACGAAATCATTTGTATTAATCTTGTTACCGATCTTCGTGTTCTGAGTTTATGGAAGGCGGTCGTTTTTGAACACCTTCACCAGATTCGCTAATTCGCCAAGTGCAATTGGTGACGTATGTAATGGTTTAGTTTATTAATTTACACCTGAAGATGGTTCGATGAAACCGAAACATATTGTAAAAATGTTCCAAATGTAAATCGATTATTCGATGTGGAACATAAAATGATATTTTAATTATCTTATTTGTAAATTTTTAAATATAATTGTGATTAGACGGACAAAACCGAATAATTAATTTATTAATTTATTTTGTTCATTGAGCGTGGTACTTGTATATGTTTGGCAGCAATGAATTTTCATCAGTTACAATCGAACTTCGAGATCAGTGATATCGATATATGTGCTGAATCGTAAGGAATGTAGCGTTTTCACCTTTATCTCGCTGAACGCGTTTGTGTTTTGAATAGACCGTAGATTCCGGTTAATTGGGGCAGCTGTTTATTAGGGACAAATGTTAAAGAACAAACCTTTCTAATTCTTTACTTGGAACTTTGCATAATTGGGCCAAAGGGTTCTAGTCCCGATGTGTCCCAATTAACCGGAATCCACTGTATTTAAATAGGAAGACCTCGGAAGTGTCGTCCGTCTATGATGCAACTTCTTTTCTTCTTTGTACTTTTGAAGGTTGTTCTAACATTGATTTATGATCGCAAGACTTCTAGCAAACGATCGTTATGTATATTTATGAAAGAGGCAGACACATTTTTTTTAGTGTTCCGGTATTTCTTGCATTTTTCTGCAATAATGTTTTTCTTTTGTTTCCAGCCCGTTGCCTGCCAGGATGTGACGATCAGCACGGACACTGCAACCAACCCAACGAATGCCTGTAAGTTGAGAAAAATACTTTGGCACTATCGTATCAGCAAGTTCCAAGTTGTAACCTAATATTTGTTGTGTACGAAGATGGCTGTCTTGTGGGTTGTAGCGCCGTGTAGAAGTTTGCCGACGGTTTAGAGGAGGATGAAGGCAGCAAGGACCTTCGAAACGTCCGTAAATTTCGTAGTCACTGCCGTGAGAATCGCAAATCCTATTTTGTTTAATCTTAACACGATACGTTTGTGTTTCGTTGTCACTTAGTACATTTCTGTAATTAAACGGTTTCACTTTATTACTTTGTCCGGAAGATAGGGATTAGCTCTGTCTAGTGGGCCCAACTGTGTAGGAACCTGAAGACGGAGATAGAGTCCCATCTCCGAAACGTCGTTTTTTACGTTTTATATTTACTAGACGATGGATAATATCCAAGAAAATTTTTATTCAATTGGTTTTATGTTTTATTCAGGCGCGTTTTGTGATTGTGGTCAGTTCGCCCTGTTGTCGTCTGAACCCTGGGCATTTTCCCCGACCAAGTTCCTCCACTGGTCAGATCATGGCAAGGAAACGTTCTCAGTTCACTTTGTATTCGCGACCGTTGCCATTGTTGGGTCGCGAGCCTGTGGTTGAAACCCGCTTTGCAGACAAGTGTAATACACATGTCGACACTTGTTAACGGCCTTAGTACAAACTGCCGCCTGGTTTGTCTTGCTGTATCCCTTGTCTGTATTTTGAGGTATTAACGTTAGCCATACCAAGAACTCTTAAGGTCATTGTACAGGGAAATCCCACTGGGGTCCCGTTTGATTAACGATTCATTTGTCCAGCGGATACCTACAGAATACGGCCGCCTCTTGGTTTCGGTTGCAAACGCTGGTCGCCTGGAAGGATAAGCCGTTTTAATAACTAGTGTCCGGGTTTTCCGAAAAAGTAGGTGTTTTGTCTGTTATATGATCCGGCGTTAACTGCTGATAGCCATCTTTCTTCAGCCTTCATTTGTCCTTTCTTACCCTTCTTTCAGGTTCCATGTCATTGTATGTACATTCCTCTCGTAATCTTTTATCGTGCTCTTTTTCATTTGTTATGCCTCTTTAATTGTTCCTCTTCCCTCTCAGTTGCCTTCTGCCTCTTCTTTGCAATCATTTTTTCTGTCCCAGCGAAATTGCAGAATTGCGCCTGTCAGTTTTACTCAGATTTAATTTTAGAATCTGACTGACTTTGATCGCATGTGTCGGAGGTCCTTTGCTGGCTGCCACTCACTTTTCACTGGCGAAATCTAGTGGCAATAACAGAGCTAACGCGGTGTGTACTTTTCCTAACTTATTCTGTCTTGAGATGGTAAAGTTGCGTCATATTGTGATATAATAAATATATTATTTAAATCTTGTCCGTCTAATCACAATAAATTCTTATTAAAATATTACAATAATTAACATTTAAAATATTAAATGATGTTCTTTATCGAAATATTCGAATATCATTTAATATTTTAAATGTTAATTATTGTAATATTTTAATAAGAATTTATTGTGATTAGACGGACAAGATTTAAATAATATATTTATTCTGTCTTGTCTAATTGTATATTCTTTCTTTCGCTCGCATCTCCCATTATTTATCTTTGATTTTCCATTTTTCTCGCTTCTTCCTTCATTCTTACTCATTTTTCTTTTGATTTCTATCATTTTATTTTTTCTCTCTTTCCCAGTTAACCTTTTCTTCTCTCACATTCTCTTTATTCGTCTACATTCCTCACGTCTTTGTCATATTTCTTCTTTCTACATTGTTTTTTTTCCTTTACTGAAATTCCCATTTCATAGAGACGATGATGTCCCGACCGGAGCACGTGTCAGTGTTATCTGAATTTCCCTCCGAAACTCTTATTTTTATTTTTATTCTTCTTCTTCTTTTCTTCACCTTGACCCGTATACACTCTTGAGTCACAGCTACCGTGGGAAATCGTAGCCCGATGGGCGTGGTCTGCCCCCCTCTCCAGAGCCGCTCCTTCTTGATCACAAGTCCTGCAACTCAATGAGGGGGAACATCCACGGTCTACAACACCCAGCCAAGTACGCGTCATTGCAGGAGCCCCATGCTTTGAATTAAAACCTGTTGCCTCTGATGTAGATTTTTGGAGGTTCATTCCCGAAAGAACCCCACACAAAGAAATCCGATGTACGTCCATCTGATGGTGTGTTTGGATCAGACTGTACAATTGCCTTTCAATTCTTATTTATGACCGTATCTTTAAGGAGTATCGGCGTATGCAGAGATGTAGGAAGCTGTGTGTTTTCACGAGGAAGCTGTGTGCTGGTGAGACACAGTGCTCTAGAAAGAATTCTCAGCCTACCGCATTGCGCACATTTCACTGATGGGTTTCGCCTGCAGTGCCCCGTTTAGGCAACACTTTTTACATAAGCTTCTCGTGACTTTCTGCTGCCTTGGTGTGCATTGTCTGAAATGTACGATACGTCGTAAATGACATTCTTTTCTTTTATCGAGTAAGAGGGACGATGTGTTGAGAGAGAGAGAGAGAGAGAGAGAGAGAGAGAGAGAGAGAGAGAGAGAGAGAGAGAGAGAGAGAGAGAGAGAGAGAGAGAGAGAGAGAGAGAGAGAGAGAGAGAGAGAGAGAGAGAGAGAGAGAAGGAGATTGCTTTAAAGGTTGCAAAAACTGCCTTATTTTGTGCTTCAACACAAATTAAGTAATGCTTTTGACGTTTAACACGAATGTGGAGGTCATTAATGTGTACGGCAACGTAACTGGGAAACCGCATGGGTGTGAATAACTTAAAGGACTATGCGTACGTGAGGATATAATATTAAAAAGGATATTAAAGCTACAACGTAGCTCAGGATATAAGGGTCAGGTGACAGTTTTTTGTGGGAGTTCTACGTATGAATGGAATTTCTGTACTAGCTGAGCGACAGTCAGCGTCTTGAGTAATATCAGCCTCTATGTGCTCATGGAGTTGTGAACCTCTTCAGTGAATGTAATACGTGTATAAGCGAATATTGCCAATCGTTTTATTATGATTTAAAAATCGTGAGCTTGTACCCCATCGAAAATGGGGGGTGGGGGGCACTCATTCCTGCACCTGGATGGCTACAAAGAAAGTGACATGTCGTATGGATGGAGGGGGCGTCAGTGGCCCGTATGCCAAAGTTAGTTCTTGTGTTTGTGGCGGATGTCTTCCGCTCCTTCATATCCTAGAGGTTCCAAATTCGATTTCCGGTCCGAATGGCCTTTATGATATTTTAAAAAAAATGCTTTGTAAATCAATGGTTGTGTCGTCCATGTTTATTAGAGTCTCTGCGAAAATTTGAGTGAGGGAGTGTTGTTGGTTGAACCAGAAGATGCACAGATCTGATAATGAAGAAGAAGGAGAAGAAGCCTGGTTGAGGTGCATCAACATGCAGTTCAGTACATCCCGTTTTTTTTTTTCCTCTCGTTCTCTTTGCATAATGACAACAACGACTCTGTTGTTCACGCTTTCTCAAGTCTAAGGCATTCGTGACGTACGTTCAAGAACCGCGCCACGCTGTTTTTCCACAAAGAAAAGAAGACTTCTTAAGAAGTAGCTCTGGAAACAATTCTACAAGTTTCAGGTCGAGAAGTTATTTGCGGGGAAGTACAAGTGTCTCTCTTGTTATATGTGTATATTTAGTAACGGCAGACACAGGAATTCCATCTTGGATGTACAGGGTGTACCATATAAAATGCAACCCAGCAACGTTCGAAGCTACAAAAATGAAATTAAAAGCAGGTCTACCATCATGTAACAGACT